AGTTTTTGTACTTTCTAGTGCGAGCATATAGTTTTCTATATTGGCTTCTGGTTTTATCTGATGAGATGCAAGGGAAGAGTTGTGAGTGAAGAGGGTGGTGTCAGTTAGATAAAATGGATTTGGCCCATTTTTCACATGAGTCCATGTGCCTGTCAACCAGGATATTAACAAACTGCTTAAGTGGTACGCTGCTTACCCTGCTGACAACCTTTAACATCCTGCGTAATATGTTATAGTCTTTCTTCAGTAGCCCGGGAATAAATAAGAGGAAACAATAGAGAATAATAGACAGAATACGAGAGTTAACGAATTGTAGGAGTAAGGGTTGGGTAATACCAGAATGTCTTAACTTCTTGATATAGAAGGTAAGGTGGAATATTTTCTTAGAAATCGCCAAGATATGAGACGACCAGGAGAGATCAGCAGATAGAATGACACCTAGGTATTTAATCCCGATTTAGTTTCTATTTCAGTGCCGTCTATGTTGCATACCTCGTAAGAGCCAACCAGTTTGTTTAGGTCGGATTTATGCCTAAAGGTGAAATTGACCATTTGGCATTTGGAGGGGTTTAGGGTAAGACCATTTTCCTTGGACCACTGGCTGATTTCTGACAGAAAGCCATTAGGTTAAGAGCAGTCGCTTTGACATTTGATAGGCAAAGATAGAGACAGATCGTCAGCGTATTTGACAAAATGAATGTCATTTGAAGATGGTAAGTCATGTTGAAAGAAAGAAAGAAAGAAAAGAGAAGTGGGGAGAGTACAGCGCCTTGGGGGACTCCGGCTTCAGTGAGTACAGCAGAGGATGATTAGTTTAAGCGGAGGTTATGGGAAATTAGGGTAAGAGATATATGGGGGTTAAGTGAGGAAACAGTTGGGTTCATGGTTGAGTTAGGGACCCAAATTTGCCTTATTTTAATACAAATATTCGTTTCAAGGTCATTAGTGCGTTCGTTTCCCTTAGGCCGCAATTTTTAACTTCACCATGTAACATCTTTCCAGTGTCAATGTGATTTTGAAGCTTTCATTGTCCTTTAAGATAATATCTTCAGCGTTAAGCTAAGAATAAACTGACTGTTTTTTTTGATAACCTTGATTAGGGCTGTTTGTCTTTAGAGGTTTTTTTATTATTATGCGGCGAAGACAGGAAGTTCAGTGAACATAGAGCGGATAGAGCTGATGAAGATACCTCACCACCACCACCACCAACAACAACAACAACAACAGGCACCAGTCACCTCTTTCACATATATCTAGATAGACAGAGTTGTTTCAGCTATAGGTGGCGCAGATATGCAAGTCAGGCAATCCAGGCAGGGTTGGAAAAGCAAGACAGACTCCAGTTACTGTGAATTCAGTGTGAAAATCGACTTCACTAAGCTCAGCACAAAGAAAAAGTCCGAATTTTCAACACTGATGTTAAGTTGATCAGTGCTTATACATGGATAAAAGAATTGGAGCATCATAGGAAGCATACCTAAAAGGCTGCAGTCTTTCATCAACACCTTCCCCCTTTGCTGGCTCGACAATGAAGATCAAACCACTGTATGAACCAGCTTACAACTTATTGCCTGGCAAATATGCGAGAGTAAATGGCGATGAACTGGACATACGCTGAGGAAACCACAGAGTGACATCACACGACAGACCCTAAGGTGGACAACGATGAGTTTGACGTTAGTTCGAAACTGATATTAGAGGGGAATGTTTGAAGAGAAGTTAGAAACTTACAGAGTAGCTTAAAAAGACAGCAGAAAACAGAGTGTGAAATGAGGAGATGTGCTTCTGAAACCCATATTTCACTCAGAACCAAAGGGAGTAGTAATAATATGTTCACTCAGAAGGCTGTTAACTCAAACTAACTCACCTCTAGATTAAAATAAACTATTGATCAAGTTGTAAAATTTAGTGTTTTATGACAGGAAGCAGCTCAACTATTATTTTAGAGATTCAGTAACTGTAATCATAGTCAAACGTTTGAACTGGATTGATACTTTCAACCTAGAACTCTCCATCAAAATGTAACCCCGTTCATGTCACTATGCCTCCAACAAAATGCACTAGAAAGATATTCAGTGGAACTCGAATAAACGAAAATGCACGGGCGACAGAATAACACTAAGAATTACATGTAGAACAATGAGGATTTAATAGATTTGAGAGACCACATAGAGTAAAAACATCTGAGACACCGAAAATGATTCTGACGCATATCACTAGCAGTTTCCAGCTATTGATCATTAGTTTCTTGAGGATCTCAAACAAACACTCCACTTCATCCCACATGGTTGAAACCAACGGTCGATAACTTCATGGATTGATAACATGTCTTGATTTGACCACCTGTAACTCTCTCCTAACCCACTTCTGTGTCAGCTAATGCTGCATATACCTAATTGTTTTCTAAAATACTACATTCATCTTTACAGTACAGTTCTGTCTGTACTTCCCCTTCCCCCCCACACACACTTATGACCTTGGAACCCTACTGGTTGTCATTTGTTTTAACTAATCAGTTAGAAATTAGTGTCTCTCAAGGGAATTAAAAGCAAATGCTGTCAACTGTTTCCACTGTTGATTTGAGACAGTAAAAGTCCTCTAAGTCAGTGGTTGATCTTCTTATGTCGCGTGTTGGGCGGTATCGTATCGTGTCGTTGTTGTTGCTGTTGTTAATAGTGATTAGAACAGTAAGCTAGCAAATCGACTAGGTAGGAGGTTCGTCAGCGCAAGTTGTATTAACGGTTATAACAGCTAATACTGTTGGACGAGAAAGGCAACAGCTTGATATGCATGATACATGTCCTAGACATCTCAGTAACTGTCTGTTCTCACATTTCAGAATGGTTCGTATCTACTGTCTAACTGCTTAAACCACCACAGGAGGAACACAGTGATAACCTGTGATCATGTTTTTGAAGCGAAAGTGTTTCAAGGGGTGGGTGAACTCCAGGCCTCCTACCTGAATTATCATACATTATATTCTAGAGGGTGTGTCGGTGGCACAGCGGTTGGGGCGGTCGCCGACCATGCACATGGTTCGGGGTTCAATCCCCGGCCAATGACGCACTCCTTTACCTCGCTAAGCCAGTAATAAAAAATCTGGTAAAGAGGAAAGGTTGAGCATGAGGCTGGATGGCAACCCCCATAATCACCACTGCTACAGAGACTTCAAGCTGGCTCTAACTTGAAGCCCTATGTTCCACTGGGGGGGCGTGAAGGAATAAAAAAAATATTCTAGAGGAATCCGTTACACAACTAATTTCTTCAGAAAGTGAAGATTAGCCAATCAAGAAAATAGATGCAGCAGAAAAAAAAGAAAATTAACATAAAATTTATGTCATTGAAACAGTTCATCGAAAATTATCACTTTGTTGCTCTTATCAAGCCCCAACATCTGTGAAATACATTAATTAGGCATAATTCAAAAAACATGCACAGTCAGTGTCTGAAATTTTGTTTATCATGACAGCTTTTGACAACACACTGATAATTAGATTAGGAATTCGGATTAATTTCAGTGTTAGGAACAAGAGACTCTGAAAATCAAACTAAACAGGATCTCATTGCTCAAGAAATATTCCGGAGAAAATGGAGATAGATCGACCAAAAACGCTTAGGAGACCGTCGAATGACATTGTGCAGAATTCACGCCATCGCTTGAATTGAACTCGAGTGGGAAGCGACGAGTTTGGCATTGCTGTGTGGGTGACATGGAGGAGATCGTGTGAATAGGAGGAGATGAGAGACTATGGGCAATCGTGGACCAATTTAAAGAGGAGGCATGCTTTTGAAGCCATATGTTCCACTAGGAACCCAAGGGAATAATAATGATAATTATCATAGTAAATGTCATTCACACTAATGTTTTAGGTGTAGGGCGTTTGTAGGCGTAGTCGTACTGCTAGCGAATGGAGGTGTACTAGCAGTAGGGTGTTCCCTTCATATGACCACAAGCAGCAAGCCACCTATGCCACCTCTGCGCTCTAGAGACGAGGATGAGATTTTATTTTGATAAATCACACAGTGTTGTACAGTACACTAATATTAACTGATGACCACGTTTCGAGCACAAATTATTGCCACTCATAATCATATCGAGGCACTACTCACACAAATTTTTTCCTTCATTTATATACATGTGTGGAATTGATGATTAGATATTTGAATAAAAATCAATATGGGATGAAGTACATTCAGAAATAATAATAATATGAGTGTTATCAATCAAATACAATCAGATGGGAAATAAGACGAGTGTTTTTATAGTCATAATAAGTAACTTGTTAGAATGTTGTGATGTGTTTGATTTGAAATAGAATTTTGAGATTATTTTTTATCCTCCCCTGGTTTGACTGTTACTGATCAATTAAAATTAGATGGGAAATAAGACGAGTGTTTTTATCTCATACTGAATTTTATTCCAATATCTAATCGATTCCACACATGTATATAAATGAAGGAAAAAAGTTGTGTAAGTAGTGCCTTGATATGATTATGAGTGGCAATAGTTTGTGCTCGAAACGTGGTCATCAGTTAATATTACTGTATAACACAACACTGTGTGATTTATCAAAATAAAATCTTATCCATAGTGGAGTTATGCTCTACCACAGTGCCCAAGTTTTATACTTATATCTAGAGATGCGGGTTAGAAAAAGTCAGCCCCGAAAATTGTACATCACGGCATACCTTGCAGCGCTCTGTAGATTTAGCCGGTTGTACAAACTTAATACGAACACAACCCTTTAAAGCCAACTCAAATAGGCCGTATGTGACCTGACTCAGGCAGATGTTCCCCGGACTGTGCATGCGATCATGCAACTCTAATAATCTTTCTGGTTTAGGTACTTCAAGATGACATCAACTTCCAGGGGGGTGTGGGTAACTGTGAAAGTAATCACCGTATCCACGCTTACTTCCATAAGCACATAAAGCTGATTGTAGTTCTGATTCCTATCACTACTCAGATTACAAATTGACCAATCAAATCACACTGTTGTTTAATCGATAAAATCTAGTTAACCAATCAAAATCATCGAAGTAGAAAAGTTCACCTACCTGTTTCTCCTTGACTTGTCATCTCCGAAGAACCAAGAAATTTCACTGATATCATGGGGATTTCATCATTTTCATCAATCACAGGGATAATAACCACCGCCGTACTACTGCGTTCATATGGTTGAGGTGCAGAATCGATAGCTTTCACTTGGAAGACAAATCTTTTAGAATTCTGATTCATGTTATGATTATTGAGGTTGGACGATGATGTCGGTGATGATGATGGTATATCTGACAGAAATGAACTAAATAACAACTGGTCATCTGTTAAACTTGTCTCCATCGTCTCATAATCTAACCAACGTTTCAAGATAATTGTACCATCCGCCTGTACACTGAAATAATTCATCGCCAGTGTACCTGGAACCATTGTATATCGGATCCTATTATTCATCGGTGAAGCATCTTCATCTGTAGCCGATAAATTTAATACCACAGTACCTGGGAGGGTTTTCTCCGAGATCCCCCCATTTGGTGGATAGAATATTGATTTATCAAATATCGGTGGATGATCGTTTACATCGATTATATTGATTTTTATTAGCGCAGTACCTGTACGTTGTGGTAATCCAGAATCAGTAGCTAATAAATAAAATTCATAATGTTGTTTCTGTTCATAATCTAAATTAATTGTTGAAATTAGCTCCAATGGTCCACTGGGATTATCTTCTAAAATAAACGGAATATATTCAGTAGGATCGATATTGTTCTGATTATTGATCGGTTTTTTGATTGACTCTAGATGATAGGTAACTTGACTGTTAGCTCCTTCATCAGGATCATAAGCTCTTGGTAGTACTGTACGTGATGATTGTAGCTGGAGATACTTTTGCTGACGATGTTGTGTTTGTACACTGGGATAGTCGTCTCCAGAATCTTTAGGGATTTCAGATAACTGTACAATAATACTGGGTATATTCGTCTGATAACTACTACTATTAATGCTGTTATCAGTAGTAGATGTTGCTGTTCTAGTTGGATGGAAGTTCATTCCATTACTAACTGATATCCATGTTGGACTATTATCATTAATATCGATAATCAATAAATCAATAGGTATCTTTTTAATATCGACTTGATTTAATTCTAATATCTGTGTAGTCGATAGAATGTGAAGTGTTTTAATACACCGTTTATTTAAATTATTTGATATTATATGCATGGGATTAATAAAATAGCCTAAATTAGTTAAATATTTATCAGTGTTCAGTGTGTTTTGTAAAAATAGCGGAGGTCTACCGTTGATTGGGAACCTTGAACTGCTACTACTACTACCGAGGCTGGTGCTACTGCTACTGCTGGTAATTGTCGAAGGGAAAGAATTACCACTGCATAGAGCTTCACGATCGATACGCTTCTTTACAGTTAATTTCCCGCTAACCGACTCTAAATCTAACGCATTTGTCAACGGGTCATGTGTATCAAGCAATTGAAAATTGAACTGGAGTTTGTTAAAATTAATCATCTTGCTGGCATGATTTTGATTTTGGCTAGAATGGAATTGTAAATTGAATAGAATATACTGGTGTAGATATTTTGAAACACCGATAATTTCTGTCCCATTCGGGGATTCTTCAATCAATCGGAAGAGATTCGATGCTTCTTGTTCTGGTAATGCATGATATTCGTGTGGAATATATGTTGGCAGGATTGTGTGACTGGTATTATTATGGTTATTATTATTAATATTATTATGATTATTATGATTGTTATGATTATTCCGAAGATTATCTTCAACTACGGAATACACAGAACGCATACAATTGAAACAGTTATGAAAATGGAAATAATAATAGAAAAATATTTTAATCAATAAGTGTATTTCTTTGAAACTAGATGACATGTTTTTTTCTGTTTCCTTTCAGTGTGTTGATATCTGAAGAAGGCAAGAGAGAGAAAAAACAAACAACTGGTAATCATTACATAATAAATTGTCGACTTATTTACAAAGAAACCGCCGAGTTTTTGAAGTATTAGCAATATCAAGGTCATTTGTTGAATTCGCCAATCAGGGACGACTATGCATCGCACTTCTCGTAAATGATTGGTTAATAAAGCAGGCTCGCTTACTGTCTATGAAATATACCCATTCGCTTATTGATAGCTGTCTTTTCTGGGTGCATAATAAAGATCAGATGACTGATCGGAAAGGATTAGCAAAGAAAAAAACCTCTGGGGACGAACTAACCATCAACCTATTGCTCAATAATTATGTAGAAGGAAATGGAGATGGATCGGGCTCACGCTGAGGAGACCGCTGAATGGTATTACGCGCCAAATCCTCAATTGGAACCCAAATGAGAAGAGATGAATTAGACGAAGGTATACGAGTGACATGGAGGAGATGAAACTTCGTATGTATTCGTGGAGAGAACTAAAAAGAACTGCAAAGAGCCTGCTCACGCATTATCGGGTGTCCAGTATCTACCAAGTGGGCTAAGACTCTAAATTTACTTACGCATTTGGTTACCCCATTTTACTCAGTCATACAGGTACATGTTCCAATTAAAATCAATAAATAGTATTGAATAAATTATCGACTGAAATGACAGATATCTGTGTCACCTACAAAAATGAAATGTGCAAAAGAGAAAAAAACTTTTTTGTACAAAAAAGAAACACGAAGAAAAAGATGCGATTTTCTCAACGAGTTACAAAAACTTCCTAAATCACAAATACATCTGTATGGTATATAAAATATGAAAGTGTTGAAAAGACAATGAACAACTTCATTAATCAAACTAAACGCACTTTTTTGTATGTCTGTGTATTTCTATCCCTTTCTCTATGTATGCGTGTTTGCGTGTTTGTGTGTGTGTGTGCGTGTGTGAATGTGCACCATGTACATGTTTGAATAGATTTCGGGGAATATTATACAAACGGGAAAAAAAATCGTCTTTCTACGTCTATAACTAGTACAACATTTGTTTAGAATTCAGCAAGCTGGACATACGTATTAGTGGGAATCAAGAATAATGGAAACCATAAAAAAACCTCTAAGTCAGAGATGGAGCAGATGGGAAAAATACCCACAGTTACTCCCGCCCCCCCCCCCTCTTTGTTTCCCGGTTTGATTGTTTGTTCAATGGCACCAATACTTTTGATCCAAATTTTCTGATGTTTCACTTTTCTTAAAATATTATTTATCTTAGAAATACAAGAATAAATAGAAGATCATTATTTTTTGCGTTGACTCAGAACTTGACTTCTTAAAAGCCACGCTAGCAGAAAACGGTTACCCTAACCGATTATTTGACAGTAACACGAAAGATGGTCACCGACTCAATTCCAAAGAAAACCTTATTCATGAACTTGGAATCCAAAGGTGATCAAGCTTATGATATTCTCAAAAACCGTTCCTCTAAAGCAGTCAGCAAGACGTTCCTGCAAAACTGCAAGTGACGTTCACCAGCCGAAAGTTGTTCTCCATCATGTGCATCTATCAGTTCACTTGCTCTTGTGGAGCAGAGTAGATTGGCCGTAGGCAGAGGACACTTTCCACACGGATACGAGAACATATTCCACCTGCAGGGTTTTACAAGGAAGAAAGGAAGGCTATGCGAAGCTCTATTCTAGAACACCTGATCGACTCCTGTCACTCTGCCAACACTGATCATGATTTTAAGATCATCTTCTGAATCCATGCTAACTCACCAGTCGCGTTTTCTTAGTTACAGACTTCTAAAGACAGCGGAGGCCTTGGCCATTCATGAATCGAAGCCAGCCACACCTTTGTGTACAAAAGAAGTATGTACAATCCCTACTTCTGCCTTAGCCTTAGAAGGATAGACATTTATTTATTTTGTTTATTGAGTTAATCTATGTACCTTTCCCTCATTACTACGATCACACCATGTTACGTAACATTTTATATTCGCCTACTAATCCTATAATTATGCACCCCTTTCCAACATCTATACACCTTATGTACTATTCTATATATGACATTAATTGTTTTGCTACTTGAAATTTTACTATGATTATAATCACAAATATTTTAATTGCATTTCAATCTACTACTATTATTTTGTGTATTCACACCTTTGATTCAATTCTCTCACCGGATGTAATTTCTTAAAAACCATATATATATATATATATATATATACATGATGAAATCCTCCATGCAATCAATCAAAAATCCCTACAAAACCAATAGTTGAAAATTAATCTGATGCTCACTAGCGACTGGCCCTATTCAGACAGTTAACCTGGGGTTCTAGTGGGAAGCCGTGACCAGTAGGGTACAGCAGGTTGAAGATGAAGCAGTAACTCACCTAAGAAGACATTGCGAAATGGTCGCACTATGTCATAAATTGGCAGAAGTTAGAATTCAAGGACCATTGGATCGGGTCCCAGTGGCTGAATGGTCTACGAGCTCGCTAGCCTTGTAACCAGAAGGTGCCGGGTTCGAATCCCAGCAGGGTGGTTGCGTACTGATGAAGATCTACAAAGTACGACTAGACAAGCAGCTGGCTGTCCAGTACTCCCTGCAGGTTTCCTAATGATCCTCTAACTGATGTCAGCTAATGATGAAATCCTCCAACCAATCAAACAACGGCAAAAAAATCCCTACAAAAATCAATACTTGAAAAATTTGAAATAATTTAGGTGGATTCAAGTTTAACCAAGAATTTATATCAGTTAGAGTACCATTGAAAACTAGCACTCCTTGAGACTCATTGGCAGTAGGCACCCACTACCAGGGTTCGAACACAGGACCTTCCAGTTACAAGAAAAGCTTGGACATTACTCAGCCACTGGAACTCGACTCAATGGCCAGTGTCTGTCTGTCTGTCTGGATTCAACACAGAACTTGACACCGAAGTGCAGCACTTCGAGTTGCCACGTTCCAAATAGCACACAAAGGTACACAAGAAGAAGATGAGTGAAGAGAATCAATAGAGTTTTGACAAGTATAAGAGTGAAACAGTAATGGTAGGAGGGAATATGAAAGATTACAGAGACTGAATACATCTGCGTATGCCATTGACAACGATTTTGAGCCATGTCACCTATTGTCTGTCTCGAGCCATTGATTCTTAGAGTCCCGAGGGCGGGCCCCAACCCGGAAATCTGCATCTCCCTACGTGACTCAGTTTAACTGTCAGGGATTTCATGGATTGGTGCCATGTTTTTGTTTGGCCACCACTTACTCTTTTCCAACCTGCTAGTAATGCCCGTCCGTCGGGGGAGGCGATGGTTAGGCATGCGCAACACGTCACCTAATCATCTCAATCTATGTAACTTTATAGCCTCGTCGACTGATTTTCTCTCTTTGCCCAACACTCTACGCCTAACATCAACATTACTTACCTTGTTATACCACCTAACGTGAGAAAGAGATCGTAGAGATCTATGACAATGGCCAGTGAATTTAACGTGACCAACGGCCAGTGTCATCGGGAATTATTTGTCCTCATTTCCGATTGGATAAACCCCACTGGTTGTGACTTCCCACTAGGACACCAGGTAACATTGTGCTGTAACCAGTCAGTAGAGAGAATTAGGTTAATTTCCATGAGTTATTTTCTAGGGGTTTGATTTGTTTCAGGTTTGGCCACAGATGAGTCCTAAACTAGGACGAAACAGCCCTCCAGTACTCCATGCCAGACATCAGTGACTCTCTAACTGACAGCATTCCGTAGACAGACTTGAAACAAATCATTTCTCTACAGACTAACTCATGAAGATTTAGTGGATGGTGACACTAGAGCATTTTTTCCTCTGGATGTACCTGCATTCCTCAGTGAGTCAGTGACGGTGAAACAGTAGGTACTGGGTTCCAGTCTCTGTGAGAACACTATCAATCACTGGGTAAGATGCAGACACGTCCGGCTGATGAATCCCAAATGGATTCTACTGCCAATGAGCATCTTCTGAATCACTTAAGGTCAATCCTCAGACATTATCGAAGCGTCCACATTAGGAGCAGGCATGTCAACACAGAAGCCGAAGATTTCGATTCAATCAGTCATAAGATCAAATAATAAAAACACAGGATTTTGGTGATTTCATCAGTTTTTGGTAGAACTCTTCAGCTGCTGGATCCTCCAAATACAGATATATATATATAAGTGACAATTAAATCAACTACAATGATGAATTAATCATGCAAAACTACAGGTGTGAATATTCTTCAGTTCACGTTCACACAGATAAGTGTGTGTGTGTGTGTGGGGGGGGTAATAGGTATGAATGACTGCCTTTGTTATGATTATTGTTCCCTTAGGTTTCAGCAGCATATCTCCACTTGCTCCTCTCCTCTAAAATTTCTTTTTTTTGACCAACAAACTATCTGAAGAATCAGAGAAGACTTGACTCCAGGTGAACATAGACAAGAAGGAGGTGAAGAAGATAACCAACCAATAACAACAACCACCATCAATTACTATCAACTGAAGGAAATTGAAAGATGTCAGTTCCCTCACTTATCTAGGAAACATCGTTTCAACTACAGGCGACAGTCCGGATGAAGACGTCAAAGAAAGATTGGAGAAGGGAAGGTACACGTTCATTGAAATGAAATCAGTCTGGGAATCTTCCGCACTTCACCTCAGCACCCAACAGTCAGCAAGGCTTATCTGCAATCTTCAAGGAACTCATGTTCCACCGAATGAGATTCGAACCAGCATTACCGAGTGCTGCCTGCAGTCAGAGACGTTACCATCACTGCGATTGGCCTCCTGTAGGACTGTAATCGATACTTTAATTGGACATTAATTAACCAGTGTTATGTGTCTAGTCCTTTGTTTAGTG